CTATATACAAATGCCAGGAGTATGGGAAACAAACAAGAAGAATGGGAAGTCTTAGAAGGGTAAGTGTGACTTCGCAGGAATAACTGAAACTTGGTGGGATAACTCCCATGACTGCAATAAGCAACTGAAAGATATAATATGTTCAAAGAGAACAGAAATAATAAAAAGGGCTAAGTGGTGGGAGATTTTAATTATCCTTGTATCTGTTGGGAGGCAAATTCTGCCAAGTATGGCCCTTCCAAGAAATTCCTGGCTCGGTTGGCTGATAATTTTCTCCTACAAAAAAAACAGAGAAAGAAACTACAGGACTAGTTATCTTTGACTTGATTCTAACCAACAGAGATGACTTGGTGGAGGAAGTGGTAGTAAGGGAACTCTGTGCAATAGTGACCATGTTCTACTAGAATTCTTGATTTCAAAGGAAACCAAAGCAGAGTGTAGCCACACATATATGCTGGATTTTTAAAAACCCAATGTTAATGAACTCAGAACAAGGATAAGTAAGGTCCCATGGCCAGAAATCCTAACAATGAGTCCAAGAATCATTGGAGCTTCTAAAAAAGGAAAATCTAAAGGCACAACTACAAACAATTCCAACAAGAAAAAAAGGTGGGAGAGAGAGCAAAAAAGGCCGATGTGACTTCACAAAAAGCTCAGAGAGGACCAGAAAACAAAAAAGGACACAAATAGGAAGTGGAAAGAAGGCCAAGCCACAAAAGGTACAGACAAGAAGGAAGGAATTGCAGGGACAGCTTTAGGAGGGGAAACGCTGTGAATGAGCTGAGGCTAGCTAGAGACACTAAAAGCTACAAAAACACATTCTTCAGGCATGTGTGTAGCAAAAGACAAGGAAAAGAAACAGTGGAAAGAAACAGTGACTCAGCTACTAAATGGAGGTGGAAAAATGATAACAGAAGACAAAGAAACAGCAGAAATGTTCAATTCCTATTTTAACTCAGTCTTTTCCCAAAATACAGACTATGAACCTCCAAGACAATTGTGAAGTGCAAGTGGACAGGACAAGATTACAGCTGAAGATTGATAAACAAATAATCAAGGAATACCTTATTACCTTGAATAAATTCAAATCTCCAGGGCTGGCTGAATGGTATCCAAGAGTATTGAAGGAACTGATTGAGGAGCTCTCGGAATCACTGTCCATCATTTTCTTGAAATCATGGGAAATGGGTGAGTTGCCAGACAAGGGCTAATTTTGTCCCTATCTACAAAAAGGAGGAACCTGGGAACTACAGACCAGTCAGCCTGACATCAATCCCAGGGAAAATTCCGGAACAGATTATAAAACGGTCAGTATTCAAACACCTAGAAAACAAAGCAGTAATAACTAGAAGTGAACACGGATTTGTCAAAAACAAATCCTGCAAGACTGATAGACAGAGGGAATGCTGTAGACATAGTATATTGATTGATGCGGAAGCTAAATGGTGCAGAAAGCGGCAGCCAGACTTCTCAGTGGGGCGAGAAAATATCAGCATATCTCCCCAACTCTGGCTGCCTTGCACTGGCTGCCCATTCGTTTCTGCATTGATTTCAAAGTGTTAATGACATATAAAGCCCTAAACACTTTAGGACCCCGATATCTAGTGGAACACCTTCTCCCACCTAGATCTACCTGAACCTGTCGTTCTAGCCAGGAAGGGTGGCTGAGCGGCCTAAAGCCGAGGGAGGCCCAGAGAGAAAGAACAAGAAACTGGGCCTTCTCGGCAGTGGCCCCTCCCCTTTGGAACACTCTGCCCCCAGAGATCTTTCTCACTCCCTTGCTGGGTGTTTTTAAGAGCAAACTTAAGACCTGGCTCTTTAGGCAGGTTTTCCCTCCTGTCATCACTTGAATTTTTTCCCCCATCTTGAACTATATTACTATTGTTGTTTTTTATTTTATTATATTGTTTTTATTCCATTTTTTATTGTTAGCTGCCCAGACTTTGGTCTAGATGGGCGGGGTATAAATTTAATAAATAAATAAAATATATCTTGAGTTCAGCAAAACATTTGACATAGTTCCCCATGATATTCTGATTAACAAGTTAACTAGGTGTGGGCTGGATATAACAACTGTCAGGTGGATACCAGTTGTCTACAGAGTTGTACTCTGAGGGTGATGATTACTGGCTCTTTCTCAAAGTGGAAGGAGGTAATAAGTGGGTACCCCAGGGCTCAGTCCTGGACCCAGTGCTATTTAATATTTTGATTAATGACCTGGATCAGGGGATACAAAGAACGTTAATCAAATTTGCAGATGATACAAAATTGGTTGGAATAACTAACATCCTGGGAGACAGAAATAAAATTCAAAGTGATCTAGATAGTCTTGAGCACTGGGCTGAAAACAACAGAACGAAATTCAACAGAGATAAATGCAAAGTAGGAAAAAGAAACCAAACACACAGTTACAAAATATTTGGCTCAGCAAGATCTTAGAGTCATTGAGCCAACAGTGTGATGTGGCTACAAAAAAGAGCCAAATGCTTTTCAGGCCGCATTAACAGAAGTATAGTTTCCAACTCCCATGAGGTGCTAGTCCCCTCTATTCAGCACTGGTTAGGCCTCACCTTGATTATTGTGTCCAGTTCTGGACACCACACTTCAAGAAGGATGCTGACAAACTGGAACAAGTTCAGAGCGACAAGGATTATCAGGGGGCAGGAAACCAAGCCCTGTGAGGAAAGACTGAAAGAACTGGGCATGTTTAGCCTTGAGAAAAGAAGCGTGATGGGAGATATGATCACACTTTTCAAATATTTGAAAGACTGTCATACAGAGGAGGGGCAGGATCTGTTCTCGATCATCGAAGAATGCAGGACATGCAACAATGGGTTCAAGTTACAGGAAGCCAGATTTTGGTTGAAGTATCAGGAAAAACTTCCTAACTGTTAGAGCAGTATGGCAATGAAATATAATTACTTCAAGAGATGGTTGGTGCTCCAACACTGGAGGCATTCAAGAGAAATTTAGACAACCAGCTGGCAGATATCCTTTGATCTGTATTCCTGCACTGAGCAGGGGGTTGGACTCGACAGCCTTATAGGCCCCTTCCAACTTCATGATTCTATGTTGTTGTTTGCTTTGTCTGATCAGGAATAAAATGTTACTTTTTACAAAGTTCTGTGTACACTCAGGGTACTGACACTGATCTGGGGGGAGGTGGGCACCTGGTGCTCACCTTCAAGAAGCAATATATCTTGGGCCAGCCCTGAGTAGCATAGTTGCAACTTTTCTGTGGTTCTTCCTCCTACATTGCTTCTGTAGTGCACACATGAGGAAAAGGCACAAGAGAGAATTGTAATGTCACCCTCATGGTTTTTAGGAGTCAGCCATTACAATAATAGTGCAGTCTGGAAAATTTCCTTATTTGAACTACAGTTCCCAGAATCCTTAGCCTATGCTGACTGGAGGACACTGCAACTTCTACTGAAAACAGGAACTTTCCCATCCTCTAAAAAACCAATTAGGGTTAGGCTTAATGGTAGCTCCTTTAACCATTATAACTGGCCCCAATTTTAGCAATTAACAATAACCTATTTTATTTTTTATTTATTTAATTTATATGCCGCCCACTCGCATCTCCTTCTGCAGAAGTTCATGCTACTGTCAGTTTTTCACTTTAAACACCATGCATTTATCTGTTGTGGCATGCTTTATTCAGTCCCGAAGGTAAATACCCTGTTTCCCCGAAAATAAGACCTAACCTGAAAATAAGCCCTAGTATGATTTTTCAGGATGCTCGTAATATAAGCCCTGCCCCCAAAATAAGCCCCACTTAAGTCAAACCCCACCCTCCATTGTGCAGCAACCAGAAGAAGTTGACACGATTGTATTTGAATAAATGTAGATGGTTGTACATGAAAATAAAATAAAACATCCACTGAAAATAAGCCCTAATGCATTGTTGGAGCAAAAATTAATGTAAGACCCGGTCTTATTTTCAGGAAAACAGGCTACTGCATTCCCCCCACATTCACATTTGCTTTAAAGCAAACAACACTGCATTACCTTTTTTATGACAAAAGGGGAGGCACAGTTTTCGATACCACAATACTATCTCAATCTTCAACAGCAGGCAGATTAAAATGGGAATAATTATTAGAAGCACCAACGCAGCAAGTCCTGTAAGATTTTTGGCTGTGTTAGAAAATTAAAAAGAATAAAATTAAAAGTGGAGTCATTCAGACATTGCTCAAACCAGACAAGCAAGTGTCGACGAATATTGCTATTGATTTGCTTCACTCTCTGGTTCTAAAATCTCAATTGATAAAGCAGGCTGTGTGTCACCTATAAGCAGAGAATATGAGGAAAAAATAGCCCACCATTTTCCAATATAAAATGCTATTGTATTTACACATAAAGGCTAAATCCTAATTGGACTTCCACCCAATATGAGAGAGGCTAGCACTCCTCGCAGTTTTGGTTAGATCCACAGTTCTTTCACAGACAGGACAACGAGGCTGTTCTTCTGCCAAGTAGGCCCTGACCTCTTCTGCACGGGAAATGCCTTTGAAATGCACCCAGGTTTTTGAAAGCAGACTCTGAATGGCTAACGAAAATGAGAACCAAAATGCTGTGGCACTTCAAAGGCTAACAGATTTATTTCAGTGTGAGCCTTTGTGAATAACAGGCCACTTCCTCAGACATATGGAAGTGAACTGTAACACACATTGAGGTAAATTAGGTATTCTTTATGCTGCCACAACTCTTTGCTTTTCATCGTATTTTATTTACACAGTGCTAAAACAGCCTTACACATCTTGGTCTTGGTGAAGGGTTGGCCCTTTTTCGAGGCCAGCAGTCCACAGAGTTGCCATAAGTCACAATTTACTTGATGGCACATCATCATCATCATAAAAAGCACGAAGAACACTAATAATCCTACTAAGACTTTAAAAAGCTGGGAGTTGCAGTCAGTGGGCGACACTCTGCATAACCCTGATTGAGAAGATCTCCCTCTTCATCCCCCTCCCCACCACTATAATACGATGGCCCAAATCCTGTTGCTTGTTGTAGTAAACTGCTCTAGAGCAGGCTTATCAACCAGTATTTGGTAAGTCAACTCCTTTATATGTTCCATTGATTCAAATGGCCGTACTCTAACTCAGACTTACTTTTGAGCCAATATTTCAGACATCTGAAATGCTATAGTTTCTTAATTTCTTCCAAGTCAACATTGTCTCCTTTCTTCCCTTATGAATTTGTATATTTCACAATTATACTTTTTTAAAAAAAAACTCATACAGGTAAGATTACGTACTTGGAGGTTGTATTGTGATGTATGCAGCAACTGTTCCAGCATGGCAAACAAAAAATTGGTTGTAATCCTCTCTCTCCAATTTTGTAATGTTCAGTGATACCACAGAAAGCTGTGCCCCATCAACAAGGTAATCTTTTCTGCACCAAAAAGTAGCGAACAAAGGATACCCTGAATAAATTTACTAAATAAATAATACTAGGTATAAAAATGTCAGCCCAGATGTTTACATTAGCTCTTAAGCTGACAAGGTCACCCCACTTCATATATCACTGTGGGCGATTCAGATATTCAGGAGCTGACCTGATCTGTTTGTCTCATGCAACAATGCTAACTCAGGTTTTATAGGTGGCTGCTTTCAAAAAATATATACAGAGTTCCCATGTGAAATCCATATTATAGGGTACTTGTGGGGCAAGGCTATTTATTTTTATATAGAAAATTTTTTCTTGCCCTTCTGGTGATTACCCACCACTCCAACTAGCTAATAGCAAATAAAGCTGACATAAAACATGATACAATTCCAAGATAGCAACATATCAATAAAAACAACAGACACAGCATTGAATAACGTGTGTTAAGGCTGCCTAAACAAGAACTTGCTGTCAAAGAAAATAGCCATCCAGCCTTCCCAGGAGTGACGGATTCTACTCCTTTGGCAAGGCCACTGAGAAGGGCCTTTCTATATAAATCAGGACTACTTGCAAGATGCAATAGTTGTCGTCCCCTTAAAATGTGGCTCCTCAGCATCCTGAGCACCCCTAATCTTAAAAAAAGGTAAAAACTCAAAAAGTCCTCTTCTTCCTTCAAGTGGCACTAGGGGGATTTTTGCTATGTTTTCTAGTGCCTGAGTCGGCCTGCCCCATGCCTCAAATTTAAAAATGGCCACTAGGGATGGAATGAGGCTTTGTTACTTTAAAAACCCTCCCATTTTTAAAAATAAATAATAAATAATGTGAAGGAGGTCACAGAAGCACCCCTTCAAGGTGCAGGGGCAAGCACATGCAATCCTTTGAGCCTCTGGTGATAACTGCCCACTCTTGCCTTAAACCATGCCTCCTTGATAGGACATAGAGAAAGGTCAGATCTGAGTGTGTGGGCAGCTGATATTGGAACAGGCCACCTTTGCCGTATCCTAGACCGAGCCTTTGAAAGTCATTGTCAATACACTGAATTCTGCTTGCAACAAAATTTGTAACCAGCAAAGCTCTTGAAGGAAAGGTGCAACAAGATGACATGAGCAAGCACCCGTGGGAATCATCCCATGACAGTTCCCATTTATGCACGATGAGGAAACAACTGGGATTGTGTTTGTGGCATCAGAAGCACCATCTAGTCTAATAAGTTTCTGTAAAAAAATGGGGGAAATCACAGTGCTGAATCCAAACAAGAAACAATCACATCTGGTACAACCAAGAGACTGAAATGTACCATAATCTGTCCTCAAAATAATCATTTGAATAATAGGAACCTGAGTGACGCTACCACACAATCCAGAATCTGGAGGAGATGTACGAAAAATGTAGACATCACGCTGCAGTTCTTTGTCTCTCTTTTATTCCTTAAGATACGTTTTTGTCTCATATTCTGGAAGCCCCGGGATGCTTAAAATATCTTTTGCAGGGCAAATATCATGTTCTTCAGGAGGAGGATAATCAAGAGATCAGTTAAAGAATACTAAATGGTTTACTGTTATGATTATTGTTAATTTACATTTCTATGCTGCTTTTCTTCAAATTAAGGGATTTAAGGCTGATCACAAGTTATTAAAAAAAGCTGATTAAAACCACGAGAAACAAAAACTGTGAAAAAGCAATTAAACATACCACTGCATAAAAATGATTGATGAAAACTGCTAAAAATACCTTAAAAAGGTATTAAAAACAAACATAAATTAGTAAGAATCTCCAGCACACAAGTTACAAAAACTGCCCAATTTGTTGTTAAAAGCCTGTCTAAAACAGTTGGACTTCACTTGTTGCCAGAAGGACAAGAGAGAAGGAACTAAACTAGCCTCTTGCTATTGCCCAACCTGGTAGCAGCCACACACAGAGAAGGTCCAGCCTCATATTCCCACCAGACACGCCTCCGAAGGAAGTGGGTCTGAGAGAAGGGCTGCCCCTGAAGAAAAGCTAAGAAGGCTCATATGGGAAGGTCTTTCAGATCGCCTGGACCCAAGCTATACAATCCGGGTTTTTTTGCAGGGATGTTAAGTCTTTGGGCCCCGAGTCCAAGTCCAGGTCTTTGGTACCAAGACTCAAGTCAAGTCCTGAGTCTTTGGTACCAAGTCCCAGGCCTTGAGTCCAAGTTCCAAGTCTCAGATGGAGGCTAGGAGGGGATTTCCCAGAGCTGGCCCCTGCCTCTGTGCATCATGTTCAGAAGCAGTGGGCCTAGTTCCTGCCTCCCCACCGCCTTCCTGCTCCTGCTAAATGAGAATGCCCAGAAGCAGCAGGCCCGGCTCTTGGAAGGGAAGCTATCCTGGCTGCTTGCTTCTAAAGACAGTGGTGTGCAGGAGGAGGAGGAGGAGGAGGAGGAAGGCACCAGGGCTGGCGGAGGCAGCTTACTTACTTACTTACTTACTTACTTACTTACTTACTTACTTACTTACTTACTTACTTACTTACTTACTTACTTACTTACTTACTTACTTACTTACTTACTTACTTACTTACTTACTTACTTACTTACTTACTTACTTACTTACTTACTTACTTACTTACTTACTTACTTACTTACTTACTTACTTACTTACTTGTTTGTTTGTTTGTTTGTTTGTTTGTTTATTTATTTTGTACCCCTGACTACTCTGGGCAGCTTCCAACACATATAATAACAATATTAAAATATAACATTAAACATCAGTAATAGAGTTGTTCAAGATGGAAAAATAAATAAAACAAATAATAACTGAGGGGAAGGCCTGCCTAAACATCCAAGTTTTCAATTGGTTTTTAAAGATGCCCAGCGAAGGGGCATCTTTAAATGACATACGACTTGGAAAAAATGGTTCCAAGTCGCCAGTCGAGTGTGAATCATTGGGGGGAAAAAACCAAGTTGAGTCTAAATCAAGTCGCGGATACAACTTACGTTGGACTTGATAGCAAGTTTTGACTCATGACTACCCATCCCTGCTTTTTTGTACTGTAGATTGTTTGTATCTTCTACATTAAAGAACTTCCCACATCACTCTCAGCAAAGCAAAGCTGCATGTTGCAGAGTATTTTCAGAATTGAGTACAGTATTCCCATTAACGTCTGAAATAGTTCATTGCCCGTCCCTGTTGTCCTTCCCTGTCACCCCATGAAATTACAGGGAATATCAGGACTTTGATAAATATATAATGTGCAGCCAAAATTCCATATATCTCTCTTTTTTCATCGGGCAAGCTATCTCTTAGAGAAAGATATATAACATTATCTCCTTAGTTTTTCTTCAAATAATTAACTTTGAAAACTTACAGCAGAAATAAGGAACAGGAATAATCAATTACGTTAAATACTGTTCTATAGCAAACAAGTGACATTTTAAATCTGGTGTTAGGACCTACCAAAGCTTAGGTTTGTTTTTAGCAACACAAAACTAGCATCCACTGAAATCTCAAGAGAAACAAACAAGTTGAATCTTCCTTTATTTCTCTACTTATGGAAGATGTATACTTACTGAATTCCTTCCTGAATTCTACCTTTAAAAAGATTATCGACTAAAGTATTGTTGACTCTCCAGGATATAGAAATAAAAGTGTTTCTGAAGCTCGATACATTGCACTCTGTAAATACGTTGGATCCTGCAAAATTGATACCAGAAAATGGCCATCAGAAACCTTTAATAAAATGCCATCGTTCAACATAACAAATGGCTTTCTTAGTGTGCTATGAAGAAGGGATGGGCAGAACTGGATCTCCTAGCAGTTCCTTATGTCATTTGCAGCAGATCAGCAGAGGTCACATAACAATAAAGGAAATCTGGAAGTTAAGAAAAAAAATCTTTGCCATATTTGGCCTCACGATACCTGCTTAGTCTTTGCATCACATGTAAAATATTAATATGTCTTGTCATTCCCACTAGGCTTCGCATCCCATACAGCCTCATATAGCACCACATAGAACACGGAGTTTTCCCAGGCTCTGCAACCATAAAACATAGGAAGCACCTTTGTGCTGGCCTAGTGTCAACTGGGAACGGGGTGAGACGGGCACTGAGACATTTTAAGTCATAGAAGATGAAAGAACCGTAACTTCTTCTCCTTGGGCATAACTTACCTGGAGATTTGATACCCACCCACCCCCATCCACCACAAGATCTGGGGAAACGTAGCAATCTCTCAAGTCTTCAAGCTATGCTTTTCAACCTGACAACTCTATTTACTGGGATTAAAAAACAAACAAACCTTGTTTCCATTTAAGAGGTAATTTTGCCAATTCTCTATTAAGAAAAAAACAACATTCCTCAAGACTCACCAAGTTCTGCTTCAATTGTGATGTTTCTGGGATGCAGAATCTCAGTCCTCTTCCACTCATTCCCTACCAGTAAAAGAAACCAGAAGATTTTTTTAACTATGCATCTGCCTCAACAGAACAATATGGGGGAGTGGTGGGAACAAGCTACCCCAATAGGATATCCAAATCAGATCACACTGGTATAAGCAGTCACTGTCTAGAGCCTCACCCTACTCTCAGCAACAACACCGAGATGTCACAGGGTGTGTGCCCTTGGGTAACTATTGTGAAACAATGGCTGAAATCCAACAGTAAGCTGCAGCTAGAGGAGGTCCACTGGATCAGTTGAATTTACGGAGGACTTGATTCACCAACCGCCCACTGATTTAATGGGCCTACTCTAGTTGTTACTTACTGTACTACATTCAGCCATTGTATACACATGCACATGTATGAGAGAGACAGAAAGGATAGATTTCTTTCCTGCCCTGAGACAACACGAACCGCTTATACAACTGTGAAAACCGCCATGCTTTGCCCACCCATGATTTACAGAGCAACTACATGCTGTTATGAGCCACAAATTTAAATAATAAACAATGAAAAGGAAAGGAGAAATGTTGCCCAACTACATAGTGCACTTTACCTGTAACAGTGACCAAAATGCTCCTTGAAAAGTTGTATTTATGTCCCAAGTAACTATACGATCCTTTGCACTGGTATTTTCCTTTATCATCTTCTCTCACGTTCTTTATTATGAGTTCCTCTCCAAAGAACTCAAATCGTTGGCCCACCAGCAGCTTACAATCCTAAATGTAACCAAGATACAACTTTATTCATTTATACATAATGAAAGTGTAACACTCTGATGACGGAACCTAGACAAACCCTAAGACCATTAGCCATAGAAGGCAACAACGGAAGTGCTTTTAGGATCCTTCTGCTTTTTTGTAAAATATAAAATAACTCTGCAGCTACACATGCCACATAAAAAGTAATACTCTATACTGAGCTTTGAAAATGCCTCTCACAGTAACACTTCCTTATGAAGTAACCTGACTGCCTTCTGTTGGGAAATATAAAGACATCTTTAAGCAAAAGAGCATCTACAGTATGTTGTTTTAGACGATGCCTGCTTGTTAAGTGGGTGAAGATGTATATATATATGCATATGCGCCACATTATGTCTGGCATATTTCCAAATGTAATGCGCTCTGAGGAACCTTTTGTAAAATCACATTTGAATTCCATCCTTTTTTCCAAAGCAAGAGACATCTGAGAATCCCATGTCAGTTCCCTGCTGTCACCCATCCTAGGTAGGTCTGGTGGACACTGCAAGCCAAAATTTCTGGAGGTCAAAGGTTCTCCACTCCTCCTTCAAAGAACCGTAAGCAATGAAAATGATGCTGCCTTCTCTTAGCTTTACAATGACTCTCTGTATTAGGCTACACAGAGTATGGGATTGGACTGAGACCTCTAAGAGACATTTTGAAAACCTAGGGAGTCTCCATCTAAGGGTACTTTAAGGGGAGACTTCAGGTGGAATTACCCTGTCTTGTCCATGAAATCTGACAGGAGGAGGTAAGTCCAGTCACCTCCTTATCAACTTGTTTTCTTCTTCTTCCTCTTCTTCTTCTTCTTCTTCTTCTTCCATTCATAGGCAGGGCAGGAGGTGGGTCTTAAAGGGGTGGAGTTTGTGTATATAAGGGGTGTGTGCAAAGAGGGAAAGGTTGTTGTTGGGGAATTAGAGAGTGGGAGAGTGAGACAGGGTTAGATATAGGTTAGGTAACTTAGTGTCAAGTAATAAAGAACTGTGCAGGGTTAAGGTCTGAGAAATATACTGTGACAAGTGATTCATTTACCCAGTGATTTCCTTTTTATTTTTGTAATCAATAAATCATCCTTTTTATTTTAAATCCATACTAAGTCTGAAGTGTCAGGTTTATGTGTGGTTGGTGGCAGCGAAGTACTGTGTGTGTGTGAAGGATCGTGGCCTGTCATCTCTTGTGGTGACGTAGGAGGAGGTGGCAGTCGCGACACTTATCAACTTGTTTTCTTCTTCTTCCTCTTCTTTTTCTTCTTCTTCTTCCATTCATTCCTCACTAAGTGGAAATTTGATGGTTTGTAAATATCTTCCCTACATCTGGAAGAACCCTAAGCTCAACAATCTAACCACTACACCTCACTAACTTTAGACGTCTATAAAATGAGCCCATGATGACCTTCCACTGAAGAGAACAGCGGTTTACAGCCTTCATCCCTGTTCCTTTTTAAATTCCATAGAGAATCAAGCAGACACTTTAAAAGAAAATGAAAACACAATATACCCCATTGAATGGGAGAAAAGCCATTTAAAATGTAAACTAAGAAAAAAAGAAGGAATTATTTATGATCACTCTGGTTCAGACACAATCGGCTCCTGTAATGGTTTCCTATGAGGTCAAAAAGCCATGGAAAGGAGCACTCATTTCTCTTCCATCCTTTCCTTTTGAGTGTCAAAGATGAAGATCAAAAGCTTCCTCGTGGTCTGTTCACTCCTACTACCTGATCCAGTCTGGGGACACGCTGGTTCATTCCTTTGACACAAGCCCTTTCAAACCGGCCCATTCCTGATGCATACCTACCTGTACCTTTTTTGACTCCATGAGGGGCTACTGATTTTTCGGTGTGGGTAAGATCGCTCTGTTTTGGTTCAGTTCCAGCAGGTGTGATTGCTGGGATCGAATCAAATGGGAGAAAAGCCATTTAAAATGTAAACTAAGAAAAAAAGAAGGAATTATTTATAATCACTCTGGTTCAGACACAATCAGCTCCTGTAATGGTTTCTTATGAGGTCAAAAAGCCATGGAAAGGAGCACTCATTTCTCTTCCATTATTTCCTTTTGAGTGTCAAAGATGAAGATCAAAAGCTTCCTCGTGGTCTGTTCACTCCTACTGCCTGATCCAGTCTGGGGACACGCTGGTTCATTCCTTTGACACAAGCCCTTTCAAACCGGCCCATTCCTGATGCATACCTACCTGTACCTTTTTTGACTCCATGAGGAGCTACTGATTTTTTTTGTGTGGGGGTAAGATCACTCTGTTTGGTTCAGATCCAGCAGGTGTGATTGCTGGGATCGAATCAAAGCAGACATGTAAGCTGTCTGTTTAAGTTACTTCATTATCTTTGGAAATCGAAAGCTTCCTCCTTTTCCTTCATGGAAGGAAGAGAGAGGAAGCAAAGTGTTTTGTTTTTAAAAGCCTTGTAAAGCAGCAATGATGTGCTATGCCTCTTAGAAAAAAAATTTAAATTGAAAGCTTCTTCCTGGAATGACGAGGAGACAGGAAGCCTTTCTGAATAAGGTTAGTTACAACTGAACACTCTGTTTAATTCATCATAGAATAAATACCTAATTAGTGGTTTTATTTTTCATAGAATAAATTTCTGTATTTTCTCCTGTGTTATATTCCTGAAAAAGATGACAAGCATACTCAAATCTTACAGCATTTATTGCTAAATGCCACGAAAAGGAATACTGTAAGATCTATACCTTGTACCAATAAATTGACAAATCATCCACTTCTCCTAAATCATCCAGGTAATAGCACACAAGCTTCGAATTTGTTGATACCGGTAACTTTTGTGTATGGGAAAGCTTCTCATTAAAACAGAGAGCACCACTGCTACTGAGAACTTCTATTTGGACAATGCTTTTGTAACATCTTGTTGAATTCCTGTAACTATACATTAAAGAAGCATCTGTGTTAACATGACTTCAATCTCCCCCAGTCCAATTTCGTTGTCCCCGACATTAAGTGCATCCATAGTACCAACACCCACCAGTTCAGTAGAATTTGCATACACATCATTTTAAGACAAACATTTTCCCTCTACTCTTCTGTGTCTTTCCTCTAATTAAATGCTTGGGGCCAGAATCCTGCTCAAAAGCTACATGCATAGAGTTTGTACTGCAGCAGCCACTGATGAGGTAGCAGTTGTGCATGGGCACGTGGCTGAGTGTGTGACTGGGTTGTGTCACCGCAGCAACTTCTGCAGTTGGAATCCTATGCATGTAAATACTGAACAAGATACTAGCCTTACGATCTTAACATTAAAATGCGAAGCTTGTCCACTTTCCCTCTGTATAGCAAAGGTAAAAGGGACAGCTCCTAGAATCAGATAAACCCACTGCCCCTGCCTTGAGGCAGGGAACTTGAAATCACAGTCAGTGGACCCTATGGAGTGTACAGTACTGGTAAGTAGGGATGTATACAACTGAATGCTGACTCACTTCTCTGAGCAAATATACAAACAAAACAAAATGGAGATAAATATGATTTCGAAATCAGTAGCTTTTGTATGTGTCCACTAAAACATATAGAGCTAGTTTCAGGATTGATCCCAAGATCCTATGGGTAAAAAGTGATTCAACACTGCAGCCCATTGAACTAACTTGATCTCCCATTTTATAGGAAATCAATCATTACAGCATTTGCTTAACATCTTCTGCAGACATTTCAAACTGGTCACACCACCAGAATGTATATTTGTTCAAGTAGTCCAATACATTTGGACTACTGTATGAGGTTTTGAAAACTTCAGAATATTCGTGGCTTTAGTCCATAGCGTTGTAATTTGAAAAGAAAAACTGAACAGTACAAAAACGAGAATGTGCACATTCCATATGCCAACCACTGTTTATGCCTGAAGAAAGATTTCCACCTTTGGTATCCTCCTCAAGCAAAATAACCAGTTCTGGGTAAATCTAATAGGGTAAGTTGCTTGGCCTTTAGAAAGCAAAAGAGAAAAGTTAGTGAAGTTTAGTTTTCTAACTTCCAAATATTCAGTCAGGGATAGGCAACCTATAGCCCTCTGGATGTTCCTACCCTAGAAAAGCCATAATCCTCACTCACAATAGGCTGTGCTGTAGGAATTGCAGGCTAGCATCTGGATTCATATAATGCCCACTTCTGTCTTAGACAGTGGAAGTTAATTGCCCCTCTAGATATTTTGGACTACAACTCCCATAATCCCACACCATTACTCTTGCTAGGGCTTTTCTGGGACTTGAAGCCCCACACATTTGGATCAAATGTTCCCCAGGTCCGAGTTAAAGGCTGCAAGTTAACTTTAACCAGAAATTAATGGCACATTATTTTGGTTTAGGATTGAACCGTTTCTTACAGATATGAAGGCATTAGAAGCTCAAGATTTTAAGGTTCCAGAAAAGTCATACCAGCAAACCTTCATAACTGAGCACTAATACTTGGAAATAAAGCCTATACATATATCCCAAAAATGAGGGACAAACAAGTTAATTTGTAAACTACAATGTGTGGAAAGCTCCTGCTGTGGCAATCAGATGTGTTTAATACTTCAGGGATTCCTTCTTTCAATTAAGTGCTCTATATATGTAATTCAACACACCATTAATTACGTTTGTAAAATACAGGGGCATGAGTCAATCTGGAAGTTTGCTAAACAAAACTATTTGTTATTCTTGTTGTTTTGACTTATATACTGCCCCATAGTTCTAGACCAGTGGTTCTTAACGTGGGCGATAATGCCCCCCAGGGGGCGATTTCATTTTTCAGGGAGGCAGTAGAACGAAAAGGGGCGGTGTGGGGGCGCTGGAGCAAGCCCAACCTGTTAAGATGGCTGCAGCCTTTTTACAGTGTGCATGAATATATATTTTCCTCCAATCTTAATTTAGTTTCAGAGTTTTTGTCTTGAAATTTTTAGTTCCTGCATTGCGGTTTGTTTTTATGCCCTTTTTATATTTCTTTTTGCATCTTAAAATTCGCTTACAACTAAATCATTAAATGTTAATTTTTGGGAGCATTTCATTTTCTTGGAATTGAATTTTGTTTTCAGCGGTCATTGGATTTAAGTGTCTTAAATAAATAAATAAATAAATAAATAAATAAATAAATAAATAAATAAATAAATAAATAAATAAGATATCATCACCGTGGGGAGGGGGGCGATGATAA